CTCGTCACCCGGACACGGGGCAGCACCGCGGTTTGAGGTGCCTGAGCTCGGAGCGAGCCCCTGCCCGGCGGTGAGTTGCGCTCAGGTGTCCTCAGCCTTTACTGCGCTTTTGGTTAAACATTCTTTAGTGGCTTAGAAGCCACGGATGTTGTTATTTTTTTAATGAGGCCGAACCCCGTAGCTCTGTGGTCACTGCCGCCGCCTCAGCGAGCTCACCTCAGAGACCTCAGCCCTTCCCCGGGTCACTTTGGGTCCCTGCCGGGGCTCCCTCTCTCCGTGCGCTGCTCTGAGTGATGGGGCTCGGTCTTTCTTCAAGTGCTGTAAGCGTTTGTGTTAACATGAGGTATTTTAGGGATGGGCTACAGCGCAGGAATGTGTGAAGTGTAGAAACCAGAGAAAACACCTCTATACTTCAAGGCAGACCTTTGTCATCGCTTCTAAACTCGCACAGGTCATGTATAATCGCTCTCATGTTTTCATCTTAAATGACCTCATTCAGCTCTGGCTGAAGACGATGATGAAATTCCCAGTGTTTCTGTGGTGTTGTGGTAACTGGGTGTTTCTCGGCCAGGTGCCAGCCCCTGGTGTGCAGTGGGGTGTCACCATTGCAGGGGCTGTGACCCAGCTGTCACATTCTGAAACGCCACATTCCACCCATTTGATGTCCAGCTTCTTTCCAGAACATTTCACTTGATGTAAGGTAACGTTAAAGGTCCTTACTTGTTCTGTCTGACATCATCCTGGAAAGGCTGTAATATGTATATAAATCAGTCCGTTTATACTTGGAGAGCCTAATTTGAAGAAACATATTTCAAAATTGAGAGATCTAGTAGATATATCACAGTTTGGGTGACAGCAAAGGAACACAGTCATCTGAGGTAATTTCCTTTTTACTTCTGCTGCAAATTAAACTATGTAGTATTTTGTACAGACACATGTTCTTATGCATGATTAAGTGTGGGGTGAATTTTTTGGGTTGGGACATCTGAATATGTTTTCCTGGTTTGGGAGAGAATGTCATCTGCTTAGCCATGATGCTGTAATAAACTGTATGAGGACTCTCATTTAAAATGGTGTAGATTGCTGTTATGCTGAAATCTGGAGGAGCTTTATATGCATGAACAGTTCATGAATATCATGTTATAAAAGTAAAAGTAAAACTAGTTTGAATGAGAGGAGAAAAAGCAGAAGCTAATTGTGGCAAGGCGTTTTCCTTATTTCAGTACTTCCAGAGAAATTTGGAAATAGTGCTCTAAAATGTATTTTATTTCATTTCTTGCTCTTTGGATGTTTAATGGCATATAAGTGGTCAGAGAGAGTCCATTTCCCTTTGTGAGCTGACCATATAATGTGGCAGCAAATCATTAGTTAACTACAGCTGTATTTCAATTATTTAGAGCATCACTTTTGTCCAAGTCTTTCTGAAACAAAGAGTCATTTTTCATTTGGACTGTGGAAAATTTTGCAAGACCTAAAGAGCTTTGCTCAGACAATGGGTTCAAGTTGGATTAGGACTGAGTAAAGATGTAAAAATTTGATCCACAGGAAATGAAATGCAAGAGTCTTCTCAACTATTAATGTGACTTTAGAAATTTGAGGTGTTTCCTGGTACTGAGAGTTTCTTGCTGCCTATTTTCTGTAATTTTTCCTATACAACTCAGCCATGCTAAATGCATGGAAATGCTCCTACAGCTGGAGGGAGTCTTTCCTCAGAATAGATTCTAATGCAGCTCAGAAGGCTTTATTAAGCCATTTTATGTGCAGTGGATTTGAGAGGGGGGTGAAAATCAGTTCTAAGTGAACATCCTTTAGCAGTACTCTCTGTCAGCTTCTAAGTAAATAGTAAGAAATGCTGGATTTCATAGTGATTACAGGGTAACTATTGGAAAGGAAAAGGGCATTACTGTCTCTGATCTTTTTTTTCTGAAATGTGCCTTTGGATATTTCCTAAAAAGAAAGCAGTCTCAAGCTGAGTTAAAACGTTTAATCTCTCTGGTAGCTGGACAGACATTCCAATAATTCCCAATCCCATGGTAAATCACTGCTTTGTTCCAGGAGATCTCTGGGGAGAAGATGAACTACCAGGGCCTCCCACAGCTGGATTTTCTCTGGTATTTTCACACAGAGAAAACCTTCTTTACCTGGGGTCACTTAATTTTTGCCCTATGACAGGATGACAGTAAGGGGTGATGTGACTTTGTACATCCACATTAGAAACAAAAGTTAGAGATAAAACTTTCTGCAGCAAATATGAGCAAAAATTTTCTAGTGGAAGTTAAGAACTAATTCTCTGAAGGTTTCTGAGGCAGACTGGTGCAAAATCACTTTCCACAAGTGTGTAATAACCTATTGTGAGCTGAAAGGCTGTATCTACAGTATCTGTTACCTCCAGCAAACAAACCTGATTTTAATCCTCATGGCAGATACTTCATTTATGCAAAGATGGCGACTTTTGCAAAAGTGTCATTTCAGAAGAGAAAACAGTCATGGCCGTTGCTGCCATTTTTCACAGCCCCACTCTGTAGCAGGACTTCATTGGTCTCTCAGTCCCAAGCCTAACCACTGAATGCCTGCTCTCATTTCCTCTTTTCTGATAGTGGTGGGAGGTGTGAAGAGTCTGGTGGTGGTGGGAGTTTCCACCCATTACCTTCTACACGGGTCTGTGGTCTGTTGTATACATTCACTTTTTGAAATGTTCTGAGCATTGTTCATTGTCTTCAGCTTTGCTTTAAGGCTGTGGTGAGAGGCTCATGTTCTCTGTCAGGCTTTTCCTCCAGGTTTTCAGGCTGTTCTCTGTGAAGGTCATGAACTCTTTATGGATTAGCAAGGACACAAATACTGAATTTGGTCATGTGAAGGTCTGGCTGCCATAAACATTTGGACTGATGTCTAAGTGAAGCAGGAATTAGGCTGCCTTTCCTGAAGTCTTGTAACTTTAGAGATTAATTGATAACAACACACATTAATTTCTACTGCTTATTTTTGCAGTTTTTTTATACTGATTAAAGACGGGTTTGTTCTTTGTGTTGGTCTGCCTGCCATTTTTTCTAATTTGGAGCTGAGTTGTGTTTTTCCTACTTTGTCAGGGTTTGCCTCTGTGGATGTTGCATGTGCCTGTGCAGAGCTGTAATCGAGCCAGGAGCACTCTGCAGGGGAGAGGCTGTGGGTAGGCACTACACCTAGGAGAAATTATCATCTCTGTGCTTCATTTACTGTGCTTTAGAACTTGAAGATGAGTAATGTTCCATGCCTAGCAGAGTTTAAGTGGAATGATGGGTTTATTTTCTTTTTCCTGGAGCATGAGATGTAGAAGTTAGTGGCTGTGCTGGGGAAGATCCTGGTGTCAGATGCAATCATGTGAATTTCGACATGTTTGTGTAACTAAGTTACTGCAGAGGCTTTTTTGTTATCAGAACAATCTTAAAAATTTGAGATTAAAATGAGGTATGCTTATATCCCAACCACCCCAAAGATCTGCTCATTTGAAGGAACTTATATACGATTCATTTATAAACCAGACAAGTGAATAGTTTCCTGACAGTTTTGATGAGATGCCTGTTGAGAGCATTGTCATTTCTTGTGAAGTTTGGTGCTTTTAAAGCCTTACTTCCTCGAGGAAGTAATTGCATTGAAATCTTAGGGTGTTTTTTGTCTTTCTTAAATAAATATTTGTCCAGAAGGTACATGCACATGTCATCTTGGAGTTCCTAAAGGATTGAAAATCGGGGCTACATGTAAGAGGAACCCAAAATCTCTTGAAGCTTTACAAATACCCCCATGCTGCCTTCTATTGTCCAGGGTAGGAGACTGATCCCTGCATTTTGAACATTTGAGACTGTAGTTAGTTTGTAAGAAGAATTGAAATTAAAAAAAGGTTTTTATGGTGTTTACTGCCTACACCCCCTTACATTTGGTTTCAACATGCCAGCTGCCAGTGTTGATTCTGAGCAATGTAAGTGTTCTACTTCCCCTTATGACAGCTTTTCTTTGCAGTTAATATAGATGGGAGAATAAGGAAGTGTATGTATTGATGCAATTTTCTTGCTCACCACAGTCCTATTCACAGTTGGTTTTATATT